TACCCCAAGTAATGATTCTTTTGATTTTCAGTGCAATAACGATTGCAATGAATACTTGCATATTTCCGAACAAGATATATATAATGTCATCGAAACGTTGGATAAAACAAAAGCAAAAAGCCCTGATGGAATTCCATCCTGTTTTTATATTAACACTATTGAGACTATCACCAAACCACTGGCAATAATATATACTCTTTAATATATTCACACGTGAAATGAAATACCCAGATGCTTTTAAAATCAGCTTTGTCTCACCGATTCACAAATCCGGTGACGAAGATAACATAAAAAACTATAGACCGATTTGCATTTTGTCGGCAATTGCTAAGATTTTTGATAAATTATTGCATATGCACCTACGTGAAAAGACAAAACACTTGATTAATCCCAACCAACATGGATTCACAGCGGGTAAATCCACCGCTACAAATCTTTTAGAATATATGGATTATCTTTCCAATAACATAATGGGAGGAGGACAAATCGATGCAATTTATATGGATCTTGCTAAGGCATTTGATAAAATTGACCATATTACCCTTCTCAACAAAATCAGCAGAATGCCAGTTAATCCATGTTTAATTCGATTACTTCACTCTTACATTACCGATAGAAAACAGATTGTCTGTGTTTATGGTGAAAAGTCAGAATGCATCACACCTCAGTCATCAGTACCACAGGGCTCTATACTATCGCCGCTTTTGTTTGCATTGTTTATAAACGATTTACCTCCATCAATTCGTTCCAAAATATTGCTTTTTGCAGATGATGTTAAAATATTCCAGAAAATTAGTGACCTTGCCGATGCTCGTCAGCTACAACAAGACATTAATACCATACTAAACTGGTGCTCTATAAACAAATTGCAACTTAATTCAAATAAATGTTACATAATTTCGTTTACACGACGATCTGAAGTTACATTCCAATATTTCAACTACAATATCAACGGAATTACAATCAATAGAGTCAATTCTATAAAAGATTTGGGTGTCACTTTTGACTCAAAACTTTCGTTCACCAATCATATGAATAATATAATAACTAGTGCGAGTAAAATGTTGGGTTTCATCTCGAGATCCCTGTATAAGTTTAGAAATATAGACACTTACACAACACTTTACAATTCATATGTCCGTAGCATTGTCGAATACTGTTCATCAATCTGGAATCCACACTACCAAAGCCATATTGATATCATTGAACGCATTCAAAAGAGATTCACAAGAACGATATATAGGAAATTTCATTGATGGATTGAAAAAATTCATTTCATTACCCATATGAGAATTACAACGTGAGAATTGTACGACTACAAATGATATCACTTGAAAACAGGAGATTACTTAGCGATGAGATGTATCTCTATAAACTCAAAAACGGAATTTTTTCAACGAACATTGTTCTGAATTTTGAAAATAACATAAGGTACAATCTAAGACGGGTTAATCTTTTCCGACTACCGCCAGTCCAAAGTAATGTCGAATTTTTCAGCCCCATATTGCGCATGCATAGACAACATATGGATTATTTTAACGATCTAAGTTTGCGGGAGCCATGTTTCAGTTCATTCAGAAGATATGCTATTCACGAAATAAAATATATTCAGCAATCAGTCATTCAAAACTACTAACTATCCTCATGAATCATGATCTTTTTTTCGTATTGCTATTAGGTAATTTTTTTTTTTTTTTTTAAACTGAATATGGAACATTTGCCATCCTCCTTCCATAAGTTTTGCCATAAAGTATTCCCAGTTTTGTAATTAAAGGGGATGGCGGGATGTGCTATATGTCGGTTTTTATACAATTCAAGGACGTCAGTATTGAATCATTTAATATTACACTCACAAGAAAGAAAAAAAAACAACAACAACAAAAAAATGAAAATAAAACATCTAATTATTAGAAAAAAATATTTAAAATGTAATCACTCTCTTCATTCGCAATTTTAATATAAACAAAAAATTGTAAACCATAAAGTAATTCCAATTACATTTTGTAAGTGGCCTTAAAGGCTGTTAAATGTATAAACCCCAATTGCCATTTTCAATAAAGAATAAAGAATAAGGAATAATCAAAATCCGGAAATGCCAAAAGTTTTGTATCCGAAAAACTTAGTTTAAGTTCGAAGATGAGCCATTTTCGATTTGATCCCTAAGAAAAACCTCAAAAAATTGACACTTTTGTATGGGAGGTACCTGTAAATCGACTCCGAATGGCTTCAAACTTTCTGGGATTTCATTTTTTGAGAGAAAAATAAGATTCTGAAAGTTTGAAACTAATCGGAATCGATTTACGGGTACCTCCCATACAAAATTTTTGAAATTCTGACTAAAATTACCGATTTTTGGACAATTTTGTATGGGAGGTTAATCTATTCTGATTGGCTTCAAACTTTCTGCGGTTTCATTTTTTGGAGAAAAAATAAGATTCTGAAAGATTTATGTTGATCGCATTTGCAGAAGTTGAGGGCCAAAAACCAAACTTCTGCAAATGCGATCAACATGAAACTTTCAGAATCTTAATTTTTCTCGAAAAGATGACACCTCAGAAAGTTTAAAGCCAATGAAAATCGGTTTACATGTACCTCTCATACAAAATTGTCGAAGTTTTAGTTACAGTGACCGATTTTTCACTTTATTTTTATTATTATATTTTCACTGCCTTTATTTGAGCGATCAAAATGAACTGAATTTTATTAAGTTTGTTAATTTTGAACAGTTATTCCAAAAATGCTTAATTGCTAGATATGGTTCGTTGCCTTTAATTTCGAATATTGAATTTTGTTTTTTTCTGATGAAAAATGCTGAAATGCCAATTGATTGGACTTTATATGAATTTAAACAAATGCCAATTTGATTGGACTTTGTATGAACAATATGCTGAATTTAACAATATGTTCTTGAACAAGTACTATTCCAAAAATAAATAAAACGTATTTAATTGATTTTGATGTTAGCACAAACGGCGGCGTGCAAAGGAATTCTGTCACCCGAGGCAAATTTTCAAAATTCACCCAAATTTTTAAGCAAAAGTACTCGCTATAAATTGATTCGGCTGTATTTGTTTCGATTGATTCGGTATTTTTCTCTGTGATATCCGATGTAGGCTGACGTTTTACGAACTTGTTCATTTAACCACTAAGCTCTTCTTCTCCTTCATTCTCTTTGGCTTTTCTTCTACGGTATTGACAGCCGCTTTCTTTCTGTCGCTGCATCGTGGATAATGAATTCCAATTGAAATGAATAAAATACGGAACGATTAAAAACAATAGAATCGTCCACACCGACTTCAGCGGTAAGAATAAATGTACACGCTTTGGAATAATCATACTTGTGCAATAAATAATTGACTTGATTGCATTTTTGGTGACATCACAAAAATCAAAATCGCGTGAAAAAAAGTCAGCGTAATCATTTTGGGCAGCGAAAACAGTAACTAAATACACACAGAAAGAGAGAGAGAGAGATTTTAAGTTATGTTTATTGAAGTTTTAACAATAACACCGATCATCTAGAGATTTCTGAGAAATCAATTTTATTCGACAGTCTGCAGACTGTTTATGTTTATACAACAAAACAACAGTGAATTTTCGAATTCATCATTCGTTCTGCGACTACGCTGACAAAGTGTGTTAAATATAACTGATTTCTGAATTGTTCGTGGACATCGCAAGCGAATTTTTCTCACCATTTTTTTTCGCTCGCTGCGCTAGTTAAGAGACGATATGTCTCATGAAAGTTAAAATGTTTCCAGATCGAAATAAAACAAGTGAGAACAGTTGCTTAGATTTATGTGCTTTATTAAACTCTTTACAATCTGAACTAGGTAACAATGGATTCTAGGGTTATTTATACTGTTAATTTTGATAACGTGGTTGTTATATTGAATGTCCAAATATGGTAACATATTTTAGTTGGAATACAATATTTTCATTATCGATTGTGTATATTAAATTCATTATTCAAGCCTATATATCGATATTGAAATAGCTTGCCATTGATTGAACTTGAAATTGAATTATATCGTTAATTTAATTGTATTTCTCAATTTAATTAACGAATCAACAGTATATGAAACAATTTACTTGTGCATTGTGCAATGAAATAGAGCAAAAATACAATATCGAAGATAAGCGATATTAACTCTTCCCCCTCTAAAATGAATCGTCCCTGATTCTCAATATTCTATGAATTTAAACATTTAAAGAACGATTTCGATGAGTAATGAAACACACATTCGATTTAGTGCACTATGTGCATTTATTTATTTTCAAAGGTGAATCAAGACTGAAGTACAGAATGGTGCAAGATTATTTATACTGTTCGATTTCTATAGAAGAATTTCACATTTGACATGCTGATACCGTTCTTCTAGATGTTACAATATTTTCATTATTTCAAATATTGATTGTTCGATACGTAATTTACTATGCCCCTTAGGTAAAGTTTTTATTTAAATTATGCAATTAAAATTATATTTGTTTCTAATCAAACATTGTGCGATAAATATTGAACTTCTAGTGAATCAAGTACCTACACGTACATTAACTCTCCCCCACGAAAAGAATCGTTCGTCCTCGGTTGATCATTACATTTTTTTATTATTACATTATATTGGATTTCAAATTTTCATTCCAGATATATATATATATAATTTTAATTCATTTGATATTAGGAAAAATATTTTTACAGAAACTTCAAATGTATGTGATTGATAAATTTATATCGCTGAATTCAAACGCAATGTTGATTATATATCTTTGTTCAAAATTCATTGGATTATCATAAATACTTTTCATTATCTATGGTAAAATATAAAAACATATTTTGTGATAATTTGAAAGAAAAAATTTGAACAGAGAATGAAAGCTAATTCGTCGAAATCCGGAATGATGAAAGGAAATTTAAATTGAAGTTCCCTTTCCTATTTTGTTTTACCACAGAATAAAGGATAACTGCATTGGCATTGGCATTGGCATTGGCATTGGAACTCATTCAACTTTCTATGTTTTTTCATTCAAAGATGACTTTTGTAAAAAACAAATTTGATGTAAAAATTGCATGATTGTTATTCAACTCATTAAATTTCTCCACTACTAAAGTGCAATATTACTCATATCCCTTGTTTTGGAATTTCTATATATTTACTTTGGCTATATCGCTGAACATTCTTTTGTTTTGGTTTTTTTTTTAAACCGAGTCGTTCATATTGCGATCGACACAACCGTTGGTCTTAGATTATTTTATTGAAGATGATGAAGAGTTATTTGCCAATACATTCAGAAAGATTAAGCGCCATCTTTCGTAATTTTTTCACTGCATACAAACGTATATATATATACGTATAGGCAAAATTCCCAACAAATGTTGTTGACATTTGCAAGTATCGCTTGTATTTTTGACATGTTCGCATAAACATACATAAATGTACCACAAACAATTTTCATAAAGCTGAAGTCAATAAAAATTTAGATTTCTTTAATTCGTTTTATATCTTTTTCAATCGTGTTGTGTATCGTGATAAAAAGAAAATTTTTCGTTGCTGTTTCGAATCGATTGATACTAAAAGAGGTAAGTTCCCAGACAATAGAAATCAATTTTAATTTCAATGGTTTGGCTTTTTGTTTTTTTTACTTTCAATTTTGTGTTTTCTTTCTGATATTTTCGGTGAACAGAACGTACGAGCACATCATCTTTGTTAGGAACTTAAGAGATAACTTCTGTGTGTGACAGAAAATTTGAAAATGAGTTCAACTCCTTCAACCTCAGCAAATCAATCCAGTCAATCATCAGGTAGCGAGAAAACACCGGATTCAGGAACATCTCGCACTAAACGAGCAAATTCATCTAAATCACCAACTCTACAAGCATTTCACTCTTTTGATGAACCATGGGCACAATTTCTCAATCATGTTCTGACAAGAATTGAGTAATTATACTTTTTTAATTCAATCGAACCCCACAAAATAACAAATACTGTATTCAATCTTATTTTTAGTCATATTGGACATGATAATGTGGACACGATGAAAGTATTTCTAGAAGTACTGGATAATAAATGTGAGAACATGAAAAACCAATTCAAGGATTTTATGTAAGCAGAATCATGTTGAGCAATTATAGAATAATTAGTTTATTAACGAATTTTTTATCCACCCAAACTCTGATTTCCCGCTTTATTTTTAGTTCGAGTTTAGATAAGGCCATTGAACGTTACGAAACAAAGAAGCCAACCGATTTGGCAGCAGATGCAAAAAATGTAATTTCACCAAAAGAACCGGCACGAAATCGTTCTTCGTCATTCAAAGGCAATCAAACTATTGAGGAAATGTTTGCTGCTTTAAACCAAGGCACTGCTAAAATATACGAGGCAATTGAAAAAAAAATTGATACGTGAGTGGAAAAAATGTGAATAAACATAAATTAATTATGTGTTTAATTAATTCCATTTAATTTGTTTCAGATCAACGTATGAAGATTATTCAATTTCCATGGAAAAGAAGTTAAAGAGGCTCAAAGTGATGTGTGAAGATAAGAGCCACAAATTGGAACAAATTGGGTAATTACTTTTGAAACATTCAAAACAGAGTTGCAAAACATCGTGTTCATAAAATGGTTGTAAATTTTTTCAGAAAAACGATCAAGGGCGCCATTGAAAAGAATGAAGGATTAAGCAGATCCAACGATGCCTGAATCATAGCTGTTTGCGATTCATGCATCAAATGAATACTGAATAGTAATTGAGGATAATCTTGGATGCCATATAAACCATAAAAAATATACAACATTAACAATATTTCCCCTCCAAATTGATTTTGTTGCAAAGATGTTTTTCCAATAAATAAAATTAAAAAAATGCCATTCTCCATAATATTCTGTTTGGAATAATTGCTTTTGTAAAAATCATTTTGAATTTCATCCCTCCGTTAAAGATTTTTGCTTTTTCAAATTCTTATTCTCGATTTTTTGTGGTATTTTCAAGATTTTGTTATTTTAGCCGTGCTAAAATACCGAAGTAATTCAAAATCAACCGTAACTGTATATTAATTAGCAATGCAATTATAGTGTTGCCTAACTATATTAGACGTCACAGTTTATATATTAACTGTCCACAGTTTATATATTAATTTTTTGTTAGTTTTTTTATCGTGACTCCATGATGGCATTTTTTATGACAATATAGGTGAAGATGTGCTGTTTATTTGTTTTTGTTCCAATAGCTTCACCTAATAATAGTTACAATATTTGATTACGGTCTAAAATGGTTTTGATTGAATTTAATTTCTAATGCAAATTTAATTTGGGAAAAAATATGCCCTGACAAAAACCATTTAATGCTACTATCGTCAAATATAGGAGCAAAAACGAAAGATTCGTCAAAATGTTATTTGTTTTCATTCTTGTGTGTTTCAATACAAGAATTAACAGGTTGTGATCATGAATAGTAAATGGAATTATTGGTTGCATTTCAAATTTTGATTATGTATGAATCTTATAAATCAAAATTTAACGAATGTGTATTTGAAATTGTTTGTGCATTGTGTAAATAATGGTAAATACTTGTGCATTGTATTAATAGTTTATGAATATTTGTGCTTTAAAAGATTAATTTATTTATTCAACGAGCAAGAGAATCATTATTTTGTTATCAAACGTTAAAACGAGAAAGGTGTAAAGAAAATTATTATATCCTTCTCATCTTGCATTTGGTTTTTTCTGTCTCTCGTAATTTATAATATTTTAATAAAAAAACAGAGAAAACCAGTATGTCATGCATTCCTGTCGATTCGTCATTCCAACGAAAGGTGATTCCGCTGAAGAACTTCGATGACTCTTGGTTTGTGAGCTCCGTTTCATTTGTGGGCTTGTTGGTTGAATCAATTCCAGAAGTTGTGTCTACCTTTTTATGTTTTCGTGGCCATTGAATTTTTTCAACTCTTTGTTTATATAAACAAATTTTTAAAATTATAATTGTTCTTGTTATATCAACATTTAGATATGTTTCACTTGCACAAATACATTCTTTTTCTGTTCGCATTTTCGCATATTCATCACTATTCATAAACGATTTATTCGTATTTTTATTCATTGTTTTTCGGAGATGTTTTAATCGATCCCACATAATTTTTATTCTTTTCAGCATTTCTTTGAAAGCAATGCTAAGTTCTTCGTAATTCTCCATTTTTGTTTCCGCTATTTGAATTTATTTAAAACACTATGTGTTTAGTTTTTTTATTTTATTTTCACTATGTGTAATTTATTTAAATCACTGTGTTTAGTTTTTTTTTATTTTTAAACCGTGTGGTGCTGCCACATCGTGTTTGTATTTTGTTTAATTTCCAGCAATCTCACAAACTTTTTTCTTCACTATGTGAATTTTATTACATTTGATCTATTAATGCTTTCAATTGTTTTTTGTTGACTAATACTCTTCTTGAGTCGTTTTACTCACAATTTACTTAATGTTAATTCAATAAATGATCGACTAGCAAAACAGTTTTTGTTATTTATAAGTGTTATATCACTTTTTTCAACGTTGAAGCAAGTTGCCTTCCGATTTTCCCAGCGTTGACCCGTGAAGGTTCCGTCTTAGTTAATTGCAATAAACTCTTTTTCAGCCACCCAAGTTCATCACAATTTATTATTTTTATACTGTTTCCAGTCGTTTCATTCTCACAAAATTATTAAAATTTTGATCTCTTAATCAAACATTTGCTCTATGCGTTGACTTTTTGTTTAAAAGTACCGACTTTTGGTTCAGAAAATCACTCTCAAATTTTAGCAGTATACACATGTACTTATAAAAAATTATCGACTAGTGATTTCCCTGTTGAGCCCCCAGTTAAGAGACGATATGTCTCATGAAAGTTAAAATGTTTCCAGATCGAAATAAAACAAGTGAGAACAGTTGCTTAGATTTATGTGCTTTATTAAACTCTTTACAATCTGAACTAGGTAACAATGGATTCTAGGGTTATTTATACTGTTAATTTTGATAACGTGGTTGTTATTTTGAATGTCCAAATATGGTAACATATTTTAGTTGGAATACAATATTTTCATTATCGATTGTGTATATTAAATTCATTATTCAAGCCTATATACCGATATTGAAATAGCTTGCCATTGATTGAACTTGAAATTGAATTATATCGTTAATTTAATTGTATTTCTCAATTTAATTAACGAATCAACAGTATATGAAACAATTTACTTGTGCATTGTGCAATGAAATAGAGCAAAAATACAATATCGAAGATAAGCGATATTAACTCGCTCGCTAAATTTTCGCCCCTCTTGAACTGTCGCCCTAGGCATTTGCCTCATTTGCCTCCTACTTTGCACGCCACCGATCACAAACACTGTCAAGCAAAGAATAACTGATTATTTTAGAAGAAATAGAACTTGGAGCGACTGAAAATACGAATACATTATAAATTATATTGTAAATATATAACCAAATATTTATACCAAATAAACCACCTCTGGCGAAGAAACGCTGTATGGTGCAGAATAATAAGGCTCATGGACATTTCTCCCCGGGTGAGCGGGCAAACGAGCGGGCGAGCGGGTAACCCGGTCGCGCATATACCGCACCCGTTTGCCGTCCGCCCGTTCTGAGCGGGTAAACGGTCAAGTAAACGGCAGATAATATATTTGGCACCGCTGCCGTTTGCCGCCCGCCCGTCTTGATTTGGCTCATGGTCATTACTCCCCCAGCCAGCGGGCGGCACACCGGTTCATGTACCGCACCCGTTTGCTGTCCGCCCGTCCAAATTGACGCAAGCGGTTATCTAACAGATGGTCAGCGGTTGAGCGGGCGGGCGGGTAAACGGCCATTAAACACCGTACCCGTTTGTCCAACCGTTCAGATTAGCGCAAACGGATGGTATGCGGTTGCGCAAGCGGGCAGACGATCCCCGTTCGCCCGTTGAGATACTGCATTTGTCACTTCATGGATGATAATTGAACAGGTGAGCGGGCAAGTGAACGGTTATTCACAAATGACACAAGAAACTTGGCCAATTTTTTTTTTAGATTTCCAAAACCGCAGATCGGTTTTCGAAAGTTGGCCTCAAAAAAATAAGTTTGGTATCAAAAATTCAGAAAATGTTGAAAAAAAAAAACATTTTCTTAAAATGTATACAATTTTTGAGTAAGGTGGTTTCGGCAGAGAATACTTACAGATGAATTCATCATCGGTAGATGAATTTATGCGATAAATTTATCAGATAAATCGTATGCGTTGCGTTGTTCTAATGCATTTGCAGTATAAAAACGAAGAGGAGTTCATTGGAAGGAATTGGAATCCATTGGTATACAATCCTTCTAATGGATTCCAATCCTTCCTAATAAATTCCTCTTCGTTTTTATACTGCAACTACGTTAAAACAACGCAACGCATACGATTCATCTGATAAACTTATCGCATAAATTTATCTATTGATGATGAATCCATCTGTAAATAAAAAGAATTACATTGGTAATCCCGAACTTTTCCGTACCGTTGGCCTGCGTTGTCCGTAGGTACTTTTGGTTTTTTTTTGCGAATTTTCTTGAAATAAAGGCAGTGAAAATATAATAATAATTATTATTATTATTATTATTCTTGTCCTATATTATTATTATTATTCTTAAATGCGGAATCGATTTACGGGTACCTCCCATACAAATTTTTTTAAATTCTGACTAAAATTACCGATTTTTGGACAATTTCGTATGGGAGGTACCCGTTAATCTATTCTGATTGGCTTCAAACTTTCCGGAGTTTCATTTTTTGGAGAAAAAATAAGATTCTGAAAGGTACATGTCATCAGCACCGCCCGGAAATAGTGCTGGTAAACCAGAACATGTAAAAAAGTAACTACGATGACTCAACGTCTCAAGGCGTTCAACAATCGCCTAC